ATATATTTGAAAGACTCAACAGGAATGCCTTTTTCCAGAAATCATGACCCAGTTACACAAGATAATCCACAAACCTTGTTGTGAGCAGTTTCATGTAGGAACTATTTTTTTTCTATCAAAATACAACCACCAACCGCATCACTGCACAAAAGCATGCATCTACAAGAGGCTCATGCTCATGACAGTGTGATGTGAATATTAATGGCATCCTCCTCAGTTGAGCTGTAATGTTAGCTAGCTCAGTGATGCTAGGTGAGCTAGCAGGAGATGCACTCTTCCTTCTGCACAGTGATGCTGTTGATGGGTGTAGTTTGATAGAGAAGAAATAGTTCCTACATGAAACTGCTCACAACAACGTCTGTGGATTATCTTGAGTAGCCGGGTAATGATTTCCACAAAGAGACATTGCTGTTCAGTTTTGCACATTTATTTTTTTGGCACTTAAAGCACCACAAGCCAAGTGCCATCTAGTTTCATTATAGTGGAGAGAAGGCAGACATCTTTACAGCTGATGTCTCCAACACACGGCAACTCACACCAAAACAATCTAGACTGACAGATGACACTAAAGGTAAAAGGAAAAATACATATTTATGATTTTAACTGTCCCTTTAACTAATTGCTTTTTGTTACTTGTTGTTGTGATGGAAATGCTAATGCTAAAGTGTCAAAAACATATGGTAACTGTTTGATGACGCTTCATTTACCAGCACTGAAGTAACTCCACACATACAGAGGTGAAAGGTTACCCCTAAAAAGTCGTGGACAGATAAAGTTATAACAAACACGTGCATAGACAGAATATACTGTACCTGCCCCTGATAGATTTGTCAATATTGACCTCACTTGTAGCGCAGTCAGTCACAGTGACCTGTTTTGGTCGATTCACTGATTGGATGAAACCACAGAGTAGAGCCAATGAGATCTTAACACACTATCAGTGCAAATAGGTTAGTTTGCCAACTGGGATCAGAGCAAACACTATTTGAAAGCATGGCACTGTGGAATTACTGCGATGAAAGATCAAAAGAACAAGGTGTCTTTTTAAACATGTGGAGGAAGAAGTATTATAAGGGCCCCAGACACAAAGCTGAGGTGTCCTATGTAAGGGGCCATGCTTTAGGCATCTACTTATGGAGGGCTTATTTCACTTCACTTTATGAAAATATGCAGTGACAGATCTGAGTTTATCAGCACGAAACTGAGAAGTATCAGTGCTAAATTTAGTTGGGTTTTTTCATGTTCCCTTTATGTAGCTGCTGTGTGATTATGATAAAGCATTTCCTCAGCTCTTTCTCTAAACGCAGAAAGAAAGCTTCAGAGTGTAACATTTGTTTGCACTGGTGTAAAGGAACAAATCTGTCTGCTTTAAAGAGTTATTTTTGCTGATTTTATGAATTTCTTCACACACTTAGATAATCCGCGGGCTCTAAATGTATGATAAGGGGTAAGATTTTGGAACATTTTCAGTTCTTTTGGAGACATTATCATTAGTTAGTCATTAAAAATTATTCCGGCACCATCTTTATGATTGCAAATCTATTATAATTCTCAGTCACACACACCCTCAGACAGTCAGACCCAGGATTTTTTTAACAAAAAGGACATAGCAAATATAAGGGGAAAAAGTCACCTGTTCAGATGTACCTTTCATGCTGTGTCATGTCATGAAATTTAGGTGTTTCTGAGTTTTACCACTCTGGCTGAGGTCATGAATAGGTGAACTGCAAAAAACCAACATGCCAACATCTTACTTATGCTGACTGAGCCTGTGAAAGCACCTGCCTCATGTCCCGCAGCTCTACACTGTTCAACTGAAAAGTCATGATAAATGTAGACAGAAGCCTCAGAGCAGGACCGGAGGCATGAGGCATGAAGACATCCTCAAATAGAAATCGTGTCCTCTGAAGGGACTCACTTTAAAAAGGTGCACCTGCAGGGCTTCCTGACATAACTGAACTATCTGTGTTTCCTTAGTGAAAGAGAACAGGATTCTACTTCCTGCTGTTCGTTAGGTTAAATTTGCACACAGCTACGGATATTTTAAATCCTATTTCCTTACCTTTCTACCTCCTGAGTTGCATGGTATGCAATAAATGTAAAAACAGACCACCAGCTCTGAGGCTGTGGACTCAAACTTTATATCTATCTGACATAGTTGACCTACAACCGAAGAGGCTCATGCAACATTCTTCTTTAGTGTGAAACACTGCAGACTGCAAGTTCAAGTTCCAACTCAATCACAAAATGTATGACCTATGGCAGGTTTAGTATTCAGGAATTAAACATCAATATGCTAATGCTCAGTGACAAATGAGCGCATTTCTTTGCTCATGAGCTGCATATGGAAACTTATTCATTAATAATTCACATAATAAAAAGTGAAATCATGTAATTCTTTGTGATTCTCAGAGAATCTCACAGTAATTCCATGGTGAAACTAAGTTTTGTAGCATTTAAGTAGTTATAGACAATTATTTTCTTCCTTCAGTAATGCATCTTGTCATTCACACAACACTAAAAAGCTCAAAGGACCAAAGGCCAAACCTTAACTAAGTCAGTGTGCCCTGCCCTGCTCAGGCACTCTTTTGCTTTCATGCTCACAATACAAACAAAATATAAAGTTCTAAATAATTAACAGGCACAGACCAACAAGACAAGTATTTCATCTAATACACATACTAGAGCACAACAGAGTTGCAGCCGATGCTGAACTTTCAGTGGCTGCCACTTAATGTGAGAAAAGGGAGTGAAAATGCCACACATCAGTTTCGGTAGTGATGTAGAGTGAAGGCAGAATCACTGACAGTGGTTTATGTGCATCAAACAAAAAACACTGAGTGTAATTTTTGAGAGACTAGTGTCCAGACAAATATTAAATGGCTTTTGGTTTGTAACTAGTGAGACAGCTACATCTTGGGGTACAGCCAGGTTTCTAAACAATTATTAATTGACCCAGGCCACCAGCTTAATAACGTTATTATGGTGTAGGATAGAAAATAAGCAGCACTGAAAGGTGCCAAGAAAGATGATTGAGCAGAACTTGGTTATAGGCTACACACTTTCAGTCACATCTTCTTAGTAGGCCTACAGCAATGGATTGGAAACCACACTTGGTATAAGGTTTATTATTGTCCATACACAATATGTTCAGTCAACATTTTCACTGTTATATTTTGGAACTCAATAAGATGCTTGTTTTTATGTTAATGAAGTATTGTGAGGTTAATGTGAGGTTCTTAACATCACATGTTGTTGATGGCAGACAAGGACCTTCTGTGACCACACTTGAACCACAAGTGCATCCACTTGACAAACTGTTTTATTAAGCGGTTTGAAGAGAGGCTGTGTCAAGGATGCCTGTGAAAGCAGTTTCCAAATGAGTGACCTCAGCTGTAGACAGAGAAATGTTTCATTATTAGTGCAGAGAGGCTACACATTTCATTTACACTTATCTTACACATCATAGGCTACTTAATAAATATCTCACACAGGCACACAATGGCTTCACATTGTGTTAATGCATCACCTTAATACAGTATCATTATAAAATGAATTACCTTTATTTATCGAGAGCCTTTCATACACAGAACACAAAGTGTAAGGTGTAATCTCCCTTTGCTAGTTTTTTGGGCGTTAAAATAATGTAGGGTGTGGTAAACAAGCTTCCCAAGAAGGACTGTCAAAACTTAGACGTCACTAATGCTAACAATGTTATCCTGCAGCTTGCGGGTGACCTTTCCGAGTAGTCAGGCGTGGCTAATAATGATCACTTCTGGGAGGCCTGTAGCTTGTTTGAAAGGCTTACTTCCTGAGGTTCTGGCCTAGTTGAAAGAATGGATGAATGAATGACTTTATTTCAAACCAAAATAAAAGAAAAACATGATAAAAGACAAGCAAGACAAAGATAACAGTGTCTGAAAATGAGTAGGTAGAAGTAAAACTTGTATGTCCCTACCCCTTTCTTACATTTCTTCTTTTAACTCATATATTATTTCAACAAATTCCCAAATTTATTTACAAGTAATATACAACTATCCCCAATCTATTTACCACCCAGTTTATTTACAGTCCAAGTGCCAACCAATGTTACATATGCACTCCCCTAACTCAACCTTTCCTCATCTATATATCTGCCAAAAATATCTTTTTGTATAGCTTTTTAAATTGATTTATATTTGTGCTTTGTTTCAACTCGTTCACCCCATACACTGAAATACACAGACTCTTTTTAGTTGTACGAACACATTGTTTTTTAAAATTAAAGTGGTTGTGGAAATAAACAAAAATATAATTCATGTAAAGTGGTGACCCCTATAATGGAAGTAGAAGTCTTGCTTTCAAAATATGACCTGGGTTGTAAAGTAGAAGATCAGCAGAGGTACAGTGTATTTATCAGAGATAAATTATGTTCAAACCCACAGAACTCTATTTTAGATTAAATAAAGACACCAAGCTTTCCAAAGATAACAAATGTATCAGGCTAGATTTTCTATAAAATGATGCACAGGAGGCCTTTATCTTGATTAATTCACACAACATAAAGCTTCAGTAAAGAGCTAGAATAGAAAAAGCTTACAGCAGGTTACATAAGCATGTAAGAAAGTTTTGAATAAGGCCCATTCAAACGAGACTACTATTACTATGACTGTCACCACTGACTGTACACAGCCTACACGTAATGGAGTAAAAAAAGAAAAAAACACAGTGTTCTCTGAGGCATGAAGTTTGACGTGTCTCAAAATGCCTTAAAACACTAAAGAAAAGGTCGGTCGCCTACTTGAAAAGCGTTCCTTAAGCTCTATTCTTGAGAAAACATTCTTTCCATGACAAACAAACCTTTTGTTTGACTGAAAACTGCCCGACTATGCGAGCTTTGCCGTCTACGTAAAAGACTACAAGTCCCAGAGTGCTCATTTCCGGCTTGAGTGCGTCGCAGCCAATCAGAAGCCTCCGGGATTTATGGCAGCTATCTGGGGCACGGGGCCAGCGCGTCTAGCCAGCTCGAAGTGCCACGACTTCACAGCAGACCACGGATTCTCCAGCGGAGCGAGGGGGAGAGCACTGGGAAAAAAGCTAGTTAGCTAGATAGCTGGGCAAATAGGTAGCTTTGCACGGAAGTCACTTCGTCTAACAGTCAAAGCTTTTTGTCCTCTCTCCGTTCCCTTTGAAGCAAGCAGACGAAGCTAAGTTACATCACCAGCGAGGTAAGTGTGGGAGTCTTGGAATTTTTTTATTCATTGAGCCAGCGTTAGCTAGGCTGGGAAGCTAAGTACTGCTAACTCTTGAGCTAACTAGTCACACAGAAAGACAGCCGGTTAAAGTTGTCTGAAATCATTTGGAGTTTTTCCTCCTCAACAGCTGTTTAGCTTACAGCTTTATTGCGGCTCCTGCAACACTGTTTTGTAACGTTAACCAACACTTAATACTATAATGTGCAGGAGGATAGCTAAGTTCATTGATTCATAGTGTTAGCTGCAGGGCTAGCTTGCAAGTAATGATTGAAAGCATTTTACATTTAAATAATGACAGGATTAAGCTACACACTGTTTGTCTGTTTTAATGTATGTTTGAACGGGTAACAGTGTAGGGTGTCTCTGTGTCTCTCACATATCCGAGGCCTTTTTAGTTGGGGTCTCAGTGATGTAATTGTAGTATTGGTCTGATACTAAACTATTTCAGAAGTTCTTGGAAGTCGATGGGTTTGTATTAAAGTAACATTTGGACTTAAATTGAGTACGTTTGTGTAAAGTTTGCACGAATATTTCTCAGACTTACATAATATGTCTGAAACTAAAGGCAATGAAAGACAAATAGTGTATTTTAAAGGAGAGAAAATCTATGCATTTGCACATTTTACCTCCATGGCTTATTAAAAGTAATATTTTTTATTTTAGCTGAAGACTGCTCCATGTACTAATACAATCCCTGTAGGTATCCCATTGTCCATGAAAGGCACATGTGTTAAAGTTAAAGGCCGTATGGTAGTGGTTACAGCATAGCAAGATTCATCTTATAGTCCTATCTCCAATGGACCTTGAGATGCTCTTTCATCTCCAGAAAGTCACCCAGAGTAAGTTTTTTTTTTTAAGTCCTCTCTCAGTGAATTCTGAAAGTAGATGCATTGACGTGTGACATCACAGATAAGGAGGCAGTACAAACTCTTCCCCTTTGCCTCTGACTATTAGACCCTGCAATGAACAGGGACTCTGGACTCAGTTTTGATTATACTGAAGTGGCTCAGCAGTTTTCTTCTACCGTGTCGCAATGGTGGTTTGTTTTAAAATAGTAAAGCCCAACTTTTATATATTTTCTGACAGGGTGATATTGCTATTTATAATGTAAACTGTGATATAACTGACAGCACTGCAAGAATAAATAAATCAAAGAGGGGGTTTTAGTGTCCCTAAGCTGCTGTCCACACTCAGCCAACTTTCCTCCCCTGCAGGCTAAACGTTTGTGAGAAGCGCCTTAAAGGGATAGTTGAAAGTCCCTTTAAGGGATGCCTTCTTTTTTTTCTACAGGGCAGGAAATTAACACAAACTACCAGCCAACTGCTGGATATATATTTTTTTTTTTTTTTTTTTTGCAGTTGCTGGTACTGTGTTCTTTTTGTCTGAAACCCTTTTAGGCTGTATGGATTGGGGTTTGCTCCCTGCCTTAAATTCATACTTAGGTTGTTTTAAAGTAAGTAGTTGATTTGTGCTAAGCCCCTTTCATACATGCACTGAATTCCATAATAGCTCTGATCATTTTAGCAGCATTGATCAAATATAGAAAAAGATGACAAGAGTCATTTTTGTGCAGTAGTTTATCTGGTAATTAGCCGACACAGGATCTAGTAACCTTTCCCTAACTCTGTTGATGGCTGAACATGAATTATAGTAGGAACATTAACAGACACAGCAGATATGATGATGTTTGTGTATGCAAATAAAACAAAATTTATACCAGCTATAATGCTTCCCTCATACACTCAAGTGTGTGATTTGGGGTCTGAAATATATTTTTAGTGCATTTATCGGGTGTATAATGCAGCCATAATAATGGGTCTTCCTGCTGATGAATAAAAATGCATTTTCATATAGGACTACTCGATTTTATTTAATCTTGTGTCTCTTGCAACAACAGTGTAATCATCCAAAATGATCATACGAGTGTACAAAAAATTAAATCTTTTAAGTGAGGCAGCCTGATGCTGATATTTAATTGTATTTACTTAATTTGTTTCAGTGTTTGTACTCAAAAAGCTCAGTGCTTGGCCTCAAAATGAAGCATATGAGACTTCACTGTGAGGGTGAATTTCAGCTGCATGAATACATATGTTTTATCCAAGTTTGCAGGCAATATGGCAAGTGGGTTTTGAGCAGCTGTTTTTTGTCACACAGTTAACCAGTCTGTATTATGTAGCCAGCCTCAAGGCAAAAGTTTATGGGGATAACAGTGACACCTTGAGGCATTTGGAAGGAATAGCTTTGCTCGTCCTCCAGGCAGCATTAATCACAATTATATCATAAACTGCTTAGTTAAGTCAGCTGCTGCCAGTTCACTTTCATTTTTACCTAGGCACAGAGAAATACTGTTGATGATACTACGTGGGGAATTAGTATATAAACTTCTTTCTCCCCTTGTTGAAAATTCCTAGTTTTTGCTTGTCCACAGCCAGCTGTTTCCTTTAGATAATCTTTTTAGTTGTTAACTGTATTGACAAGTCTGCCACTCTCGTTTTAGGTCCACTGAAATTGAACAATGGATATCTATGACCCCCAGACCCTTGGGATAATGGTGTTTGGTGGATTCATGGTGATCTCTGCTCTAGGGATTGCTCTTGTCTCCACCTTCTCCATGAAGGAGACCTCTTATGAAGAAGCCCTGGCTAAACAACGCAAAGAGTTGGGTAAAATTCAATCTACTCGCTCTGAGAAAAAGAAGAAAGAAAAGGTATCTGAAAAGAAGGGTCGTGGAAAGAAGAAAGAAGAAAAGCCTAATGGAAAGATCCCAGAGCCTGAAAAAATTCAAGAGGAAGTTGTAGTTGACACAGTCATCGAGTCTGCTGCTGCCCCAGTCGTGGCTGCTGCTCTCGCCCCTGCCCCTGAACCTGTCCCTGCTGTAGAGGTTAAGCCAACTGCGGCCCCAGCACCAGCAGACACCCAGCCAAAGGCCGCTGCTGACCCAACCCCTGCTCTTAGTGAGCCCTCACCTGCACCCTCACCTAAAGAGAAAAAGAAGAAGAAGGTGGCTAAGGTCGAGCCAGCCTCTACCCAAACAGCCCCAATTGTGGCTGCCTCTGCGCCAGTCAAGTCCTCCTCAGTCCCTCCATCAACCCAGGCCCCCGTGTCTGCCCCGACCAAAGCAACTGCCCCGCCTGCTGCGTCTGCCCCAACCAAGTCTGCCCCTGCATCAGCTAAGTCTGCCCCAGCACCAACTAAGTCTGCCCCTGCACCAGCCAAAGCTGCTGCAGCCCCAGCCAAGTCTGCTCCGGCCCCAGCCAAATCTTCACCTGCTCCATCCAAAACTGCCCCAGTGCTGGAAGCTGTCACTAAAGACGTCCCAGTGATGGCAGTCCCCCCAGTGGGATCTCAGCAGGCTCCTCCTGCTGCAGGAAAAGCACAAGAGCCTAAGAAGAAGGCCTCCAAGAAAAAGGCAGAGCCTGGTAAGCAGTTATGTTTTAGAGATGTCCAAATATTTCATGTTATAGCTCTGTAGTTTCAAAGGTTATTAAAGATTACACTTCAAAAATATAGAAACTGATACAGATAATAGCAGCATGGGAAGAGAATAATACATATAGCTCGTCAGTCTTAAGAGTCCAGTCTTTTGTGTGCTTGATCAAGGCCCTGAATTACATAACCTGCAGTTTTGAGTGTGGCCACTATGCCAAAATCACAGCACAGCTCTACACTATCTTTAGGTGTCTGGTAACTCTCCCTCTGCCAAAAGATGCCTGTTGTTTGGCCTTGGCCAAGCCCGCCGCCAGATTTTTCTTTCCTGTTAAACCAGTCATTGTTTTTTTGATGCACTGTTTGGGGACTGCTGTTACGCTCCACGTGTAGTTTGGACCTTGGTGGCGTCCACATCAGTGCTCCTGCAAGTCTCTCAAAACTACATTTACCCACAAACCCTTCACTGCCTATCAAGGATCAAAGCCACTGTAGTCTATCAATATTTCTGCTACACTAGAACCATCATTGTTAAAATTAGCGTCCTCCTTTAAAGTGGAAATGGTTGTTTAAGCAGGAACTGCATTAGCCATAACACTGGTGATAGCACTCGAACTTGTTTGGAGGTGGAGTGGGGTCATGTCTGTACAGTTTAGTCGCACGTGCATACACTCACAATCTAAGGCAGTAATACCCTGTCAGTACTGATGAACTTCTAGCTGTGTACCCGTGGAAAGTAGTGCCAATGGCAGTTGTGGGTAATGTCTGGTACTCAGCTCTGGAGGGCATAGAGCACGCCAGCCTGTCCAAACACCACTGCCCTGTTTTGTTAACTGACAAAGGCTCTCAGTGCCCTGACAATGGATAGGGAGGGGAGATGGGTTCTTCCTTGCCTGAGGCTTGTCTCCGCCTGGTGCCACAGTGCCCCATCATTTTGCCATCCAAAGCTGCCCAAGGCCCCAGACCCACAGGACAAGTCTCAACCTTGTCCTTTTCCTGAGGCAGTGTGGGAATTCAGTCCTCACTGTGACAGCCTAATGAGCTTTGAAACTGTTGGCTTTTTGGTTTAAAACATGAAATAACCTCTAAATTCCTGATGTGATACCACCATGTTGTTTTTCATTGCAATTTTTGGTGTTTGCCTCTTCAGCAGCTGTGGTGGATTCTGCTGACGCCCCTCTGTACCTGCCCTACAAGGCTCTGGTGTCCACCATCAGTAGCATGGTGTTCAGTGAGGGAGAAGCTCATAGGCTCATCGAGATCCTGTCTGAGAAAGTCGGCATCATTCAGGACACCTGGCACATGGTAATGGACGCTGCAGTCAGCAAGAAAAAAAGACTTCATAGTTCACTGAATATGTATGAGACTTGTAGGGAGATCCACTTTTTTTGCTGTCTTAATGTGAACTAATGTGTTTTCAGGCCACTCAGAAAGGAGACCCAGTGGCCATGCTGAAAAAACAGCTGGAGGAGAGGGAGAAACAACTGGCGGCAGAACAAGAGGATGCTTCTGCTGCAAAGAACCGTCTCAGAGAACTCACCAAGGTTAGACATACACGTGTCTCTCGGGTCAATGAAGCCGTACTCCAGCTACAACACCTCCTCTGGTCTGTAACCATGCTGGCAGCCCTATGAGACACATTACACTCTTTACATAAGAAAACAAAATTGTTGGATGAATTCTTAGATCTTTTTTTTACTATTGAGGCAAAGAGTGCAGATTGGTCTAAATGTGGCAGCTGAGAAAAAAAAAACCTAAATTAAAGGGTTAATTCTCTGTTGAAAATGAACACGCACTGACATTTAAATTGCAGTCCTCTTTATCTTTCATCCTGAAGATGGCACTAGAGCAAAGTTAACAAGGTGTCTGCAGCATCTGGAGCTTACTCTGCTTCAATTCTAAGAATGTCACGCGCTATTTATTTCTGTCTGTGGGTGGCAGCACAAGGTGGCAAGTCGATCTTTAGGGTCGCAGCAAATTCCACAGAAAAGTATTTTTTGCATTATTTTTAATGTTTTCTTGTTCTGAACCAAGTGTTGAATGAAAAATTGAGTCATCATGTTGGCACGAGAGGAAAAGCCACAGTATGGTAAATATTTAAATTTGTCCTGTGGTGGATGTCTTAACTATATGAATTATGAGCAATGAATCTGAACGTGCTGTCTGTGTATCAGGAGCTGTCTGCTGAGAAGTCCAAGGTTGCCAGTGTGGAGACGAGGCTGAGTTCCCAGCTGAGTAAGAGAGAGCAAGAAATGATTGCTCTGCAAGCTCGCATGCAGGCCAGTTACCAGGACCACATAGCCCAGACCCAGGGCCTCAATGCAAAGGTCAGTTCCTCAGAACAATTTTTACAGTTTGTTAATGCACATTTGAGTTTGCATTTTGTCTTTTTATTTCCTCCTGGCAATCTGGCTGCTAATGAGGAGTGAAAATGCATTTTTTCCCTTGGTTTTTTTTTTGTAATTTTGTTGTGTTGAAAAGGATTTAAAGCAGCTGTCCAAGCTTTGACAGTCCAACATGGCTAGTTTATTTTAAAAAAACTTATTTTGCAGATCGTGAGCCTGCAGGACCAGCTGGAGAAAGGCCCCAATGCCCAGCTGGCCCGCCTGCAGCAGGAGAACTCCATTCTCCGCGATGCCCTGAATCAAGCCACTAGTCAGGCTGAGAGCAAGTGAGTGTATTCCTCTGACAGTAAATGAGAAGCCATGATCCATAATGACATCCTCTTTACCTCTTTATACTGATACTAATTAAAGTGACAGTTAAATACAGTGTGTACAAATTTAAAGGCATGTTTGGTCTGCCAAGCCTGAAGATTGGCTTCTATTTTTATGAGGCATTGTCCTTGACTCTTTCTCCCTGTGTCTGTCCTTCTGTCCCTCCTTCATACTGTCCTCAGACAAAATGCAGAGCTGGCCAAACTGCGTCAGGAATGTGCAAAGTTAACCAAGGAACTTGGAGAGAAGACAGAAAGTCTCCTCGCTGATGAGCACATCAGGAAAGGGCTGGAGGCCAAGGTGTCCGCTGCTGAGAAGCAGCTCGCCATGCTTCAGGTTGGCTTGGCCTGTGGGAACACCACATCATCTCTGCTACACATTACATTAGAAGTGATCAAGTTTCCACATGAAAACAAATTGATTCCATCTTTTTTTTTTTTAAAAAAAAATGCTGTTTCTTGTTTGGGCAGCCCATTAGTTACAGAGGCTGTTCAAAATGCAAGCCTAGACCATTTCCACCTATCCTCAAACCCTCTAATGTTATGGGAAGTTTAATTGCCTTGTAATCACAGAGCTCAGGACTGAGCTGGAATGCAGCCAGTCAGTAATAGGGCTGTAGGCAAAATGCGCCTCAGCACCAGCTGGAATGTGTGCATGTCCGAGCACCTCTCCTCTCCAGCCCACTGTAACAGGCTCTGAAAGAGGAGGAACAGTCTGATGGTATTTACAACACACGACAGTCAGACTTGAAGTATATCCCTGCCTTGCATTATCTGCTAATTTGCTGTTCTCATATCAGCCTACGCAGTCACTCACTGACGGAATGTTGTTGTGTTGGTCTGAACCATTATGGCTTATGTGGAGCAAGTGAGTCAGCACTTCCTGACAGTCAAGTGTTCACTTAGTTTAATCATTTACAAACATGCGTTCTAACAGTTAAAGGTCCTCAAACACGTTATGCAATGGCTCCGCCGTCAGTCAGTATACATTAGACATGCTCAGTTGATGCAAGAGAGGTCTTCTCTAATTTCTTGCACATGAGAGAAGTTTTGCTCCCTTTGTGAAATGTGTCGTTGGACTTGGTTGTCACTAACAATTGACTGCTGTGACTGAGTCTGTCAGAGAAGCTCAGGCAGGCTAGTCATCTCAAAATTCCCTCAAGTTCAAAGCACTTCCTGCAAGACACTTCCTTTAAAAATTCCCAAACAAATAGCTTGACTGATAAAATGTCTATTTTTATGTCCTTGTTATACAACCTCAAGCCAGATTATATTCTCATCTCATAGGTGGATCATCTGTGCATATTAAATTATGTTCTTTTTCTTTGAATGTGTTGCAATATATTTGAACAGGAAGGCACGGATACTGCCCTGTGAATCACTGCTGCAAAGTAGAATTGTTTTGTGAATCTCTGCTGCCCCCTGCTGTTAAACACATCTTGATATATGTTGTTCTCAGGCCAGCCATGGGGAGAGCGAGCAGGCATTGCAGAGGAGATTGGAGGAGGTGTGTGAGGAGCTCAGAGCAGCACAGGGTAGAAACAGCAGCCTGCAGGCCACTTTGGACAATGCCCAGCAGGACAGCAGCACCCTCTCAGGTCAGAAAATGAGGGAGGGATGTCTTAATGGTCATGTGCATCTTGATAGTGGGGGAAAAAAAAGGGTAGCAGTGGCTGTATCAGTAGCAGTGGATGTATAAGTTGTGAGTGCTATGTTTTTGTCCGTGCAGAGTTTCAGGTGCGTATTGGGAAATTGGAGGCTGAGATCGGTGAGCGCTCTGCTCAGGTGGACACCCTCACTGCCCAGCTGGAGGAGACACAGGCAGAGAAAAACCAGCTTGTGCAGCAGGTGGCCACCATTAACTCACTGCTGGAGGCCAGTCAGACCAAAAAGGAGGAGGAGGATAACAATCAGGTAAGACACACTTTGTCAGTTTGACTTCTCTGAAATGGCCAGATGGTCGACCACACGTAGTCACCCCTTAAGGATGTCTGTTATGTGTGATTTGGCAGGTGAACGCTGCAGAAGTGGAACAGCTAAAGCTCAGGTAAGTGTTTGAGCCTCCTTTCCTCAGTGTCAGCATTCGAACCAGAGCCGTTTCATTTATTGATCATAGTGCACTGCCCCCTGCAGCCTTCAGGAGAGAGACAACCAGTTGAACACGCTTCACGAGGAACTGAAGCAACTGCAGATGAAGCAGGAAGCTGCTGTAAGTGTCGCAAACATCTGTTGTTACATCTATTACCAAATAGTATCACTTCTTGATTTTGAAGGAGATACATCTTTTTTTTTTTTTTTTTTTTAATTCATACCAATGTGTACAGTGGCACTGCTAATCACATATAATCTGCTGTTTTAACAGGAGGACACTATTGTTGAGCTAGAACAAAGAAATAAAAGGTATGGTGCCTTCTACTGTCCATGTGTTTAACTCAAATCTAATCAACTCCCCACACCTATGTTTGCTTTCGGTTTACTAATAGTTTGTCCAAATTGTGTGCCCATTCTTAGTGAGGATGTTGGCCTTATTGCATCACTTCAGGATGAACTTAAAAACCTCAAAGAAGAGATGGTGCAACTTCAAAACACACCCGTAAGTGTACCTGTTGATGTGTTGCATGATTCTACTTTTACAGCCTCCCTGCAGAACAAAAAAATGATCTTAGACTTGTTTGCATGTCTGCTTTCTTACAGCAGACAGACAGCTCCACAGAGCTGGAACTACTACAGAACAGGTAAATGAGTCTTGGCATATGGAAAAAAAAATCAGCCCCACATATTGTTAGGTCTGTTATAGATCTCAGGTTTGACTGTTTTGGTTCTTTGGCTAGCCTGACTGAGAAGGATGTTCTCATCACATCACTACAAGAGGAGCTGAGAGAAGTGAGAGTAAAGACTACCACTGATGCAGTAAGGCTCTCTTTACACATTAGCCAATTTCAATTGAGACTGATTTCCTCTGAATCACCCTCCTGATTATGTCATCCATTGTTTTTAGCAGAATGTTACAGCAGAGCTGACAGCTTTTCAAACTGAAGCCAAAGAAACTCTCCAGACACTCTTCCCACAGATACCCTTAGAGACAGAGCAGGTAGGAAAAGGGGATATCATAAAAGGAGTTGCTGAGTGATCTCTTATTTTGGTTGATATTCTGTAAAATAATATTCACATGAATTATTTACGTCTGCCTTTTTCTCATTGCTTAGGCCAACTGGTTACAAGTATTTACACAGAAAGCGCAGGAGTCTCTCAGCCAGCAGAGCCAGGAGTCTCAGTCAAGCACAGCGTCGCCTGTAAGCCACAGTTTTATACAGATAAAAATATACTGATTTAAATTAGCACGGCAGAAGATGTGAATGTGCTTTCTCTGTTTCAGGAGTTGCTTGAGAAACTGAAGGAGGCCGAGGAGAGCCATGGCTCACTGCAGGCTGAATGTGAACAGTACAGGACAGTCCTGGCTGAAACAGTAAGTGACTGGGAAACTGAGTTGTGTGAATATCGAGTAAGGATGCTTTCAGGCCTAAAGCTTGCTTTGGTCCGAAGTTGTATAATTGCCTAGAGTTGGTCCGTGTTCTCACAGCAGCATTTACAAGCAGACCAGATAAAATTCCTTGAGGAGAAAGCTGCTCTTGACTGGTCAGAATTGTCAGTCTGGTTGTTTAGGTGTGATTGCTGTGTTCACACCTGCCCAAATGAACTGCACTTTGGGAGGCAAACAACTTGAGATCAAAATTAACTGAACTAGACAGGGCAGGTGTGAAAGCACCCTAAATTTATGCAGTTCAGCTAAACCCATTCCCCTTCTCCTTTTAGGAAGGAATGCTGAAACATCTGCAGAAGAGTGTGGAGGAAGAAGAGCTGGTGTGGAAGTCCAAGATGGCTAACTCAGAGGAACAGCTTAGGGTGGTAAGTTATGAGACCTCCTTAAAATCACTATGACTTGGACATCTTTTCACCATATGTGGGTCCCCCTTCCTCATGTTTTTCAAAACCTCACAACAGTCCTTCTCACACATTTCCAGGCTCTGGAGAAAGTCAGCCAACTGGAGGCAGAAACCCAAAGTGTAGAACAGGTGAGGATTTTTCCACACTCAGTTTAAATTGCACTTTGATTTTAAGTTAGCAGGTAAGACATGTACTGCTAACTAAGTAAACGGCTTTATTTTGGTTCTTGCTGTAGTTGAAGGAGCAGATGATGCTTGTGGAAGCCCAGCTGGAGAAACAGTCAGATAACCAGGGGATCTCAGAGGAAATGGAGCAGGTACATGAGCATGTTCAGTCTGCGGATCACTGCAGCCTCACTGGAACTGACACCACTGATAAATTCCCCTCTTAAGAAGGTGGACTTGCATATTACATTCTTCTAAAATCTGAAAAAATTTGGTGGTTAGATTTAACTCCTTTTTGAACTTTTGATAAATGTCCATATTCAGACATTCAGTTTTCTTTAGGGCTGGGACTAGATACCGTCTTGGGTTTCGCATAATGTATCATTGAGAATGTTGTCTTTTCCTAATTTTCAAGGCAGCGTTACAATAAGGTTACGTAGCTTTCTCAACCTACCAGACTGTTCTAGCTGTTCTATTATTTGCATTTTCCCCCTCAGTCATTATATCCACATTACTGATGAGTATTTATCACAGATGTCATTGTGTAAATATTTTGTGTAAGCACCAATAGTCCCTTCAATGTTCATCATCAGTGTTGGTCCAAACCAACCCACCAAGTTTGGGCTGGGCCGGGCTGTTATTTCTCAGTACTCCCCTGGGCTTGAATCAGGTTGGGTTCTCGTCAGTTTACCAGTGTTTGTTTGTTTGTTTTAATAGTTATTATTAATATTAAACAGGCAGTTCTTGTGCATAAATGGCAGATATTATAGTGGATTGATCAAGAGGGAAAGAGAGAGAAAGATGGGGACTGTGACTGTGAGAGGGAAAGTGATGGAACAACAGAGTAATGGAGAGAGACGGAATGCACGCAAGAGAGAGGGACGGAAAGCAAGAGACAGAGAGAAAGGGAGGTCTGGGAGGTAACATGGTTGGCAGTTCTGCAACTCTTCTGCCTCCCTAGCAGTGTGAGAGATGTGCGTAACATGCAGTGAAGAGCGGTGATCATCATCTGAGCACCGCATTGCTATGGGCCACTGTGCACACTAGACGCTCTGGGGGGGAACCTGTCGTGTATGAGACATCAGACTCTTGAAATAACAGAAGGTAGAAAAGAAGAAGTGGTTTGAGGAAACACATCAGCCCTTAGCTTGTAATACGTTTTAATATTAAAAGAAATATAGTAAATAAAATTAAATATATATTTTTGACAGTATAGATTTGGGTTGTTAAGTAGGCCAAAACTGCTGCTGTAGGTCGGGCTTTGACAGAAACTGCCGGCTCATGTGGGTCAGGCCTGATTTTTTTTGGGCCCAGTCAGAACTCTGTTGCCCAGCCCTATTATGGATTGAATAATACGATTTAAAAAGTTTTGTTTCATTGATGAAATATTATAGAAATAGCTCTCAATGTAAAGAATTATCAATCCATACTTGTGTAGGAGGCTTTTCCTATGAGAAACACATTTAAAGATCTCAATCTCTTGTGCTGGATTTCAAAGTAAACCTGTCTGACATCTGTTCATCTCTGTGCTGTGCTCTGTATTCAGCTGAAGCTGCAGCTGTCAGAGTGTCAGAGCCAGCTGGATTTGGCCCAGAAGGAGGCCCAGGCACACAAGGAGGAGCTTGCACAGGTGACCCACTGACTTAACCTGCTTTTTCCTTTTCTCCATACGTCAATATTTACACAGCTATATGCCAGAGGTGGTGGTGGGGGGGAGACATGTTAATTATGAGACAGCACATGACAAGGAATTTGTGGAAGTCCCTCTTAAACTCGCACAACCAACAAGGTGAGGTGCCATGCAGCTCACGGGGGATTCATGCAACGCAGGTTATGTAACCAGTGCGGCTTCCTGTTTCAGGTCAGAGAGCAGCTGGGCGAGATCATGATGCGGGCTCAGCGAGAACAGAACGGCCCAGCTGAGGCTCAACCCAGTCAGGTCAGGGTGCAAATGTTACAGGGCACCCTTCACTTCCTGTCAGAGGGTACTGGACAATGACAAGGACACGTTTTCCTAAAATCTCCTTTGTTACCTGCTTTTTGTTTACTTCTCAAGTGAGCCTTGTTCAATTTAGTAGAAAATCACCATAATTAAACTTGTGATTGATTTTCTTATACTTTATGTATTAAGACATGTTCTTTTGGATTTGACTCAGCACATGCCAAACCCATGCCCTGAAACAAGGATGTGGCCTTGGCACACGGATACTGAGTAACACCTGACTTAAACAAAAAAGAGCCGTATTTCCAGTCTGTCCAGTATTCCTCTGACACAGCCGCTGTTTATGCTAACCACTGTTTGCACTGACTGAGTGGACACAACTCTAACCACTGCTTTTTCTTGCCCTTTTCAGCATGCTCACTTCTCCTTTGTTTTTACATATTTGTTCGTAGATTCTTAATATCAGCAGAAAGTTAATCTGATTTTAGCCTTTCACCTGAAATAGTCTGAGAGGCAACTAACTTGGCACACAGGTCGAGCAGCTTTTTTTGTGTGGGTGTTTGTGTGTGCGTGTGTGTACTGTTGCTGCTTTGGCACAATAATCTTTGCATACACACGTATGCATCAGCCATTTGTCTGCATGTGTATTCACTGTGTGTGCACGCCTTTTTTTGTCTTCCATCAGTTTCAGAACGAGTTGAGTCAGACAACTGAGAAGCTGCACGGGGAGGTGGCTCAGAGACAGCAGCTTTCAGAGGAGTTTGAGCAGGTAGCAGCCATTGTTGATGCACACTGTGTTTGCTTTTTCGCATTGTCATTCCAGAGGGTGACTAATAAACTCTCAGTGGATGACGTCAGTATGTGTGTGTGTTGTCAACTTCTAGGCCCAGAAGACTATAACAGAACTTCAGGCTCAGTTGGATCTTGTGAAAGTTTCTGCAGAGTCACCACAAGCCGACACAGAAGATGTTGCTCAGCTCAAGGTGCGGTTACAAATGACACCCAGAATCCAAACATTTAACTGTGATTAATGATACAGTCCTGATTATATATGAATTTGGCAATCTGCAGCGTATCTCAGAGTGACAGGTGGTGCGGCTCCAAATGAAACTTAGATATCTGATATCTCTTATGAATAGAGCTTTTTGTCTCTCCAACAGAAGGTCACCACTCTAATCATTTATTTTATGGAGACCCAAGTGTTCAATATTAAAAAAGTGGTAAAAAGCTAATTATTCTTATTTTGTGTATTTTTGAGAGTAGCAGAGGTAATTGCAGCTTGAATGAATTTAATCAAATTTTATTTAGTTATTTATTTTTTAATGTCCTTTCTCAAAGTCTGTTTTTACCTTGCACCATTTGTTTTCAATGACAGTCATATTTAGTTTAGTTTAGTTTAGTTTATTGGTTTGTTTGAACAGGGACAGTGCACATTAATGAACATTGCTGTAAATGTGCCAGAATTAGCCAAGAGGCTACTTTTCATCTGCAGTCCCCGGACAGATGTTACTAAAGTCACCCTAAAACCAGAATACACAATACAAGCAATTAAACAGTTTTTAAAAAGTTAAAGAGTGCTACTCCGACTTGGCTGTGGCTTAGGTCTGGATGAAAGAGCAGCTCTAGTTAACTGGCTCTGCCCTGTTTGCCTCGATTAACAGATTACAGACTTTGTAAACTTGGACTTTTGATGAAAATTGGTTATAACGAAACTTGAAAGACGAGAAGTATCAAGACGAGCATCACAAATAACTGACCGGTTTAATGACAGTCGGGCTGACATTCATTCATTTACGATCAAATCTTTGCCGGGCCACGTTCTTCTGCGGTAATGTTGTCCCCCCTGATTGGCTGATTGGAAAAACATTTTTGGGGGCATGTTCTAACAGCTCAATTTAATTTATCCACGAGTTAAGCAATGTTTGAACCAAGTTGTGTTGATTTACGGGCGAATTTTGTGCCAGGCCAGTGCACATGTTTGGAACTGGTGGTGCCCCCTATTGAGCGATGTCAAAATACTAAAATAATTTAAAACAAACAGTGATTTGCCATTGTTATGAAATATATCCTGAAAACTTTGAAATGATTAGACAAACAATTTCGGATTCATAGTCTCATTTGTGTCATGCCACACACATTTTTCAAAATTGTAGCGCCCCTCTAGTGGACTATTTAAAAATAAACTCTCATGGTATATTTCAGGTACTTATGTGGACAGATCCTGCAAGTTTTAGATGACTGGCACGACGGTTGTTGAGTAAGGTCTATACATATATACGGTCTTTTGATTAGCTTTGTCCAATAATGATCCTCAGACAATTTGGTACAAATTCAAAATGGCGAAATATAGAATCAGGCAGACTTAAAAGCCTCTTGAGACTTTTTTGTAGAGCACATGGAACTGGAACTGTCTGTCGAATTTATAGTCAGTCGGACTTTCAGTGTGAGGGGCATGGCCTTTCCAAAATTGCATTTTTGGGCCTTAATTATAGTGACACCATCACGCCAATTGGGCTCATATTTCATCATCCGGGTCATTGGTGAAATCTTCACTGAATTATTTCACAATTTTATGGTTACAGGATGTAGTTTGTATTTATCCCATGTCTTATTTATTTAATATTTAACACTTTAGATCTCCATATTGAGGCCACTTTTTGTTTGGTGGCTTGGAGTAACGTTTGCTACCACTGTTGGAACAGGAGCGCCTGGAGAAGGAGAGGAAGCTGTCCAAAGACTTGGGCCAGGCAGCCACCAAGCTCCAGCAGCTTCTCAAAGCCACTCAGGAGCAGCTGACCAAAGAGAGAGACACAGTGAGAACACTACAGGAGCACCTGGAGGGCAAGGTGAGACAAGCAAGGCAGCAAGACTACACATGCACGCCTCTAAGCTCATTGTTTCAGTATGCTCATCAATTTTGACACTATATTTGTGTTTCTCAAGGGAGAATACGTGGAGCTGAAGGAAGGAACGTCCGTCTGAGAGGAAGTTCACTGCAGACACTACAAAAAACTGCCAAATATGCCTTATGATTACCATAGTTATGCATTCCAAAACTATTTCTTTCTTGTACTGTAGTTGATTGCATTTGTTGCAACTGTAGGAGTCAAATGTTTGATATTATGAACATTTCAAAATAAGATTAGAGGAGACGATCCTGCTACAATCTTTATTGAAACCCACATTCCATCAACAATTCTGGCTATGTCAGAAGTTATTTATCCCCCTGCCTTATATTCCAAACATTTACCCATAGTTCAGTGTTAAAAAGGGAAACCGATTGTACGTCAAACGTACATCAACCTGTGCAATTACTTTGTATGTCTTTTCTATGTGGTTGAATAATGGAAACATTTTATGGTTCAATGTTTCATTACCTTTAGGGCCTGCTTTCCTCTGTAGCTGGCTGCCAATTACATGCATCAAATTTGTATAAATGAATAAACTACAGTGTAGCTCTACATGGTTTTGTTCAGTGTCTTTTTGCAATGAGTGCAGGCAGGAAGCAAGGTAAAAGTTAGCTATTATATTTTGACATAGTTTCACATCCGGTGTGAATCAAATGGTGAATATGTGCACTGTACATCTGTCTCATGACAATTAAACCTCAACAGAGTTGGCTCAAGATGACTACACTTGAATCTTAAAACTTAAACCATCTTCCCTGCCATCAACAGGAACCTGTGACGGCTCCTCTGTGCTGAGAACATTGTTGGTTTCTGACAGGAAGTAGTACCATGCAGCAGCAACCACACAGTATACCATCTTACAGCAAAATGGCGGGTAGCTCTGATCTCTTTTGTTATCCTTTAAAATCATGACTAACATTTTTTTAAAAACTGAAAATGTGGCGTTGCATTACTTAAAGCTTTAGACACTGAAAGGTCCAGATTGCATCAATGGCTTCAGATGCAAGGAAGTATTTTACAAGAGGGAGTTAATTTGCAGTTGTTTTAGGCATGATCTCTGTCTGTCTCTGTCATCCTCCTCCCCACCACACCCACAGACAGTATCTTTCCTGAGGGAACAAAGCAAAATGAGCCGATGGTGTGTGTGTGTGAGGGAAACAAATGAAACTTTTAGTCCTCAATTAACTTCAGCCAGCCTGAGTCTGCCACTGTCAGGTGGTGAGTCTGCACAATTGTCTTAATGGCTTCCGGGTTTTTAATTAATGTGATGACACGCCAAACTGCAGTAAAAAAGCCAGCAGGACATTTTGTTTCTAACAGCAACAGGAACAGATGAACAGTTGGTATAGGTATATACTGGACCCTGAATTAATGAAGTCTCTGCTGGTTTCCTTGCTACCTTTGAAGAGAGCCAGGCTTGCTGTCTCCACTTGTTCCCAGTCTTTATGCTATGGTGAAAATTTTGTCAGTGCTTATATTGTTTCATTCTTCCCATGTGTTTGTAAGTGTGTGACCTTTGCATTCCCCTTTTGTAAACATATATTGTTATTTGACATCATCAAGAGATTTTCATTCACTATAATCTCACCTTCAAAGACAGTCCATTGACTGTTAACAGATACAGCCGGTTACCTAACATGTTAAATTAAATTGCAACAGGTATGTTCCTCTGATATAATCAAGAGAGCATAATTAAATCAGGAGGGCCCAAGAAAGCTACTACTGATTTCTCGTCATCTTGTCGTCTGAGTGTAGGTATAAAGATGCCCTGTATTCACTGTTCTGGGCACAACCCCTGACCTCTGAGCTTGAGAATAAACTCTCGTGCACAAAGCTATTCAGTCTTGCTTGCTGACTCCCAAACAGATCGGCTAAAAATTACAGCAATGCAAAGCTAAGCTGACTGGCTGCAGTCACAAGTGTGGCATCAATTTTGACATCTCACTCATGCCAAGAAAGTGAACCATTATATTTCCCAAACAGTCAAACGATTAAACTATAAATGGTAATGCTGGTTGTGTTGCAAGTGTGAAATAAGGCGCAAACATAAAATCTGTGTGAAAGTGTGACCATTAAAGGCAGATAACCGCCTGTCTTTATTTTATTTATGGTATCAGTATAAGATTGATGGATTGATCTCGATACTGGCACTGACAGGTCCCAGGTTTTTGGAAGGGAGGAAGAACTCTTGTGGTATACATCCAGGTGCTAAGACCAACCCCCAGCTTCCTGTTAGTTATAGTCTTCATCCACAGTTAAATTTTGGAAGGGTCCTTTGGCATTTTCAGCTAATGCATCAGACACAAATAGTAAATACAAGCCCTGATGTACACCACTGTTATTTATATTTCATTTTTTTTCCCCGACAGCAGTTTACAAAGCAAAACATAAAATATGATCAAAGTAATTTCTCCTGTTCAATTTTTTTTTCACAATTTTAAGTACATCACTGTAATGCAAAAAAAGTACCAGTACATTTTTCTCAGTTAAACTGTATAAAAATGGAGATTCAATCAAATAATGTGGTTCCATAATTATCTCAGGACTGACCATTGGTAAGTTGGTCAAACCTGATTACATCAGAATTTCCACTATGATTGTATGTCAGATCAATGAATCAGTGAGCCCACACCATCTCATTTCACTGGGAAATTTACAACCAATTTGTTTGGGTGTATGTGGAAAAAGAAAAAACACACACATACTTGCACAACAGGTTGCATTAAATTTATTTGGCAATACTCAGACACTGATGCATTTTCAGATCATCTTAGTTTCTTTGTAAAAGTTGTACTATTCTTTATAGGTATTTATCAAAGTGTAACAGTCTAGAAAAACAGATTTATGTCAAATTTACAGACCCTGACATTTTGACCTAGTAAACTCAACATACACACAAGGAAGACAAATGGTTTATACTGGAGTATGTTGGAATTTGAAACATCATGTATGTAAATACAGTCAGGAAACTACTGATGTGAAAATTATGAGAGAGTCAAGTGACAGAAATAGTATAATTCTTGACATGTCAAAGAATGAACAAAATTACATCTGAATAAGACCGATTTCACAGTCTGGAGTAACTTAAGAGCTAAGTAGGACACGAGCATCAGGGGTTTGAGTTAAAGGAATCCGACCCGATACCTTCCCCTAAAGGTTTGTTGAATCAATCCAAAAACAAAGTAGATTTGGAAACTTTGTTGTTATCCCCCGCCCCCCTTAGTCCCTTTAAATTCCTGATGGCATGAAAAACAGGGAAAAGACTGTTTAATGGCCTTTCTTATGTGAGCACTTCACACTGCAGCCCTCAATTGTGACTGTATTTTTTCCAAGGAGATCTGCAAAATAATCCAAGTGGTACTCTCCAGGGTCATTAATCTGTTTGACGAACTTGACACCTGTTGAAGTCATAGGATGTACTTTGAGATACTGAACATCATTCAACTTGAACTCATGACATCAGTGTCTCAGAATATCTAATTAATGTGACAAAAACATTTGAACAAAGCAGAAAAAAAAACTTACCACAGAAAACCTTTGCAAGGGGGCCCTTTGAGCTGGCATAGGCCATTTTTTCTTTGATGTCTGCATTGTCAGGAGCCCTGATGGGAAGAGAAATCATTAAGTGTCACACACAAAGAGTGTTTTACTTAAGTATTCACACACACAACAGAAATGCCTTCTCCAAATAAGATTAGCTCTTGAATACATGCGATAATTTTACCAAGAATCTATTGTTAGTTCTTCTCTATAGTCTGTAGTCAGTTGAGGACGCAGAAAAATACATTTAAGAGTAATTTCACTTTAATTGCAATCCAATGACCTACCACATAAAGAAGACCAGATCCTCTTTTTTAGAGCATTCTTCGTTTTCATAGTGGCAGTCATACAGTACGTAGCGGCATTGTTTGTCATCCAGCATGCCCCGAAAGTATTGGAAGTGATTTTCCACCCCTTCCAGGTCTTTCTCTCGGACGACCTTGTCCACTATGATTGCGCCATCCGCTATTACAAACATCGCGAATCTCAGCCGTTGGCACTCATCAGCATCTTTTTTCATAACTTTCATTTCTTCAAAGAGTAGCTTCACAGCGTCTGAAACTTGTACTCCGGACGACTATTGAGAGAACACAAAACATGGCATGTACAGTTAGTGCCATAACCAAAAGACAACATATGCCATCACATTTAATGTTGATGAACTAATTACAATTGACATGTATCTAATGTTTCACAGTAAGGGAAACACACAAAGAAAAATGCAGTTGCAGAAGATTTGTATTTGAAGGACAATAAAATAAAAAAAAAAAAGTCTTAAGAATGGATGCAAATGGATGAATTTTATTCATTTTATATAACAAACTGAAGGCTCTCTTCTACTTCCTGATCATTTTAATCATAGGATTTTGCTAGTTCAGTACCAAGTCTAATTTGCCAGTTAAGTGGACAAATTCTTGTAATGATTCTTACATGATAAAAGACTATCACAATATGAGCACACTGGGGAGATTAAGGCCTTGGCTCATATTTGAGTAGACTTTGTTCACTTGTGCTGTGGTTTTGAGACAGAAAGCAGAACTGCAAGATGAAGAAACAGGAAGTTCTTCAAAACTAGACTTGGGAGAGAAGTGTTAACACTATCAAAGCAATTCAATGCGCAAATGTTCGACCAGCTTTTCTGCAGTAACATGCCATGGGTGTAGCTTCCCTATGATTTTTTTTCAAGACCTTGGCTCTGTCACATTCCAGTCATTGTGGAACAAGTTAGTACAAGAAAGACCGCCCCAAGGGATTCTCTCAGAACAAGTTTGAAGCACGAACAAAGCTCCCTCCATTTTGGAGGCAAAACCACACCTTGAGCAAGCCCTTTCAAACACTGACGTCTCTTCTCACTAAGCAGACTATCAAATAGAAACCTTGCACTCTAGATATAATGACAACCAGGCTTTACTGAGTTTACACAGTTTCTGTGTGTAACTAAAGTAACTAAAAACAAAGGCATGGCACTTGAAAGTTTCATCATCTCTACATTACATATCACTTTGGGTCACACAAATAACAGAGATGAAGTTGCTAACTCATGCAACACAAGTCAATCCAGTCAAATTCTTTGTGAAAGCTACTCACCATGTTTGCTTCTGATGTGTGGAGGAACAGGCAGCAGAGAAAAATGGCAGCAGCAGTCAAAATGCTGAAGGGTCATAAGGAAGGAGAGCAGGTTGACTCATAGAGGAGGAGCCGGGGTAAATGAGCACACCTCCAAAAGTAGGCCCTTCCCCCTCTTTCCAGGTGTGACACAGTTTCAGCTGCAACCTCGGCATTTTCATTTAATTACATTATATTTGAAGACTAAAGCACAATGGATTTATGGGCTTCATTGTCTGGCACAGTATAAACACTGTTAACACCCTTTCTATGAACAAGTTTGGTAGAGGGAGAGATCTTCCTTTTTAGGAAAATCCCCAGGTGAGCTCGAGACAGTCATCAGTGGGAGCGGCACATACACCCTTATATGGAGAACAAACCTGTCCACCTATTCAGCTCATCTGCTT